AATACAGCTGTAACAGATAGCTGCACGGATTCGAACAAGTAGCTGGCCTAAGGCCGAGCGGTCACATGATGTAAACAATGAACCAGATTTTGTACGAAATTGGGCTCTTTAAGGGTGTTCCGGAATTACAAACTCTAACCAATACTTGAACTGCCGATTTGAAGGTGGAATGTTTGCTGCTTCGCAGATGGCTCGGAACAGCAACTTAACGCTTGTGATTTCACGTGACGCGTCTTTCTGCCAAGCTTGGAGCCGCTGTGCCATCTAAGGGGTTGAGAGCATGTTTTTCTAATGACATCATCGTACTTTCATTGTTACGCTGATGAATTTTTAGAATTTCCTCCGAAGTTGCAACATGGCCGCAACCTCGTAACACTACGACGTGTCACGTTACTCTAGGTCTCTGCGGAAGGTATTTCTCCTATATTTCTGAAGGTTATTCCATTTCCGCAACTTACGGAGGTGTCAGCGGAATTTGTCCTTGTATGGACAAAAATCTACACTTAGATATGTGTGTCAGTCTTAGGAACCACCCGGATGACCCATGCATCGAATGCTCTTACAAGTAATTAAAAACAAGACATTAAAAGGCAGAAATAGAGCCGATAGGGCAAAGTGGAGTATTGTAGGGACAAGGAAATTGAGACAGCAGTGAACTGAACACGTTTAGAAAAGGTATATTCTACATAGGTCGAAGATTCGAAGGAATCTAAATAAATACAGTACGTAAAAAAATCCGTAATTTCCAGTTTAACTTGCCCCGTACAAGGTTGATTCGTCGTCGATATTCTGGACAAATTGTTATTCTGTCCATACCTTTTTGAAGTCACTTTAGCTTGTAATTTATAGACAGGTAGATATCTTACAACATTTTATTATGCCATGCATGACCTAACGGCATTGAGTGTTCACTACCGGTCTTTTAATCGTCGTGCGTTAAACTCTTTTGCCCATAGCGATTGACAACGAATGTCCACGTAGCAGTGCTTAAGGTTTCGCAAAATAGACAAAGAAATCATTCACGCTCAAAGTCAAAATCAGAGTGTGATAATGTCTTAAATCGGGCTAAAGTAAAGTGTACGTGGGCCGTACTTTAGGTCTATTTGCGTCAAGCATCCGAACTTTCGTGCAGAATCATGTGTAGATCAAAGCATCTGCTAAGTTTGCTGCTGCAATACTTGCAGCGAAACAAATACGCTCGAGAAGTAATTCGCGGTTGAAAATGGAGAGTCTTGACCACGTTAATTGAACAGTAGAGTCAGCGCCATATGTCTTTCAGGCAGTTAATCATAATGAAAAAGGCTATTAGCATATTTACGTATCGTCTAAAACAAGGGGAATAGTCAGCAGAGCCATTCGTGCGTGGTTTGACAGATTTAAGTATCTTAGTAGCTTGCATGCCATTTAATTGTGTTGAGATGGATACGGCTGATTATCAAGCAGCACCAGAATTTCGCACTATTTTCAAAGCAGTCGCCGACGGTGCTGACACTCCAATGAGCTTGATTTGGATTTGAATGAAGCTGGTCCTAATTGATAGAAAATGCCGTCACATTCTTTCATATCTCTAAAAGATGAACATGCGCCAAAGACGCAATTAAAGTTATGCTGGCAGGCGATGATTTAGAAAATTTAAGGCTAACGTTCTTGTTAATGTACCTTTTACAAACACTGAGTATTGAGGAAATACTTTATGGCGCTCTGCCCGTTGTCTGGGGATCAAGCCAAAAAGCATGAATGAAAAAACGTTTTCCAAGCATGGAGTCCTCAGAAGTTTGTTAAAAAGTGAGGCATTATTGTGCGCTAATGACTTTAAGGCCAGAGTTTTATTAATGATCAGCAATGCCTCCGATTAACTAGAAACTCGGATACCCTACCGAGTGTATTGCCTGTTGCAGTGGTGTTTCTCACACCAAATACGACTTCGCATATTCAACTGACGGACCACGTATCATATCAAATTTCACGCTTTTTCACCTGAAAGGCGCACTTGGAGAACGGACTGGCATAACTGAAAATACATTGTCCCTTAGAGACTTTTGGAAATTGTTAAACATTATGAACAACATCAGGAATATCAACACAGTCTGGGACGAGGCGTTGTTTAATAACGTGCCTGGATAATAGTATGGCCGGATACTTATCCTAATTCTAATAGTTTATAGGAAAAAGAAGTTTATCTGCTTAGGTAGAAGGGTTTGCTATTAGCACACAGCATGGTTTCTGTAAAGTCTGATGCAACAATGAGAGAAATGAACGCCTGGGATTTTTGGACTGCACAAGCCAAGCTTTGTACAGCCATAAGCTTCTGCTCCTTTGGATTCATTTGTACTAGCTAAAAATGGTTGTGTATCGGCCTGCGGTAAACCTCAGAGCGCATTTGAATGGCGTTAACTTTCCTTGATTATCTAAGCTTTGCTTGATATCTAAGCGCAAAACGGCTCATCGTTTGAAATTTACGTGTAAGGAGTGGTTGTCATCCGTCAGTAACGAGTTAAAAATCGCCGAGGTGCACACTTTAGATGACGCTACTCGATCAACGGTTTCCTCCAAATGGATTTTACTGACATAAAAAATAAGCGCGACCGCTCGAGGGAGAATACGAAAATACTTTTGTTGCAAACCAGCGAAAATTACTGGTCGATGTAGGTAATCATCGGTATTAAGTAAATGAAAATGAAGAGACGAAAAAACTTACTCGAACGTGTTACCGAGAATTTCAAGAGGCTCAACAAGCAGAAGGACCATTTATGCATT